CAAAACCCGTTAGGAGTTTTCGACATTTGTGTAGTAATAGTTCAAGAAAAAAAAATCAAAGAAAAAACGACCTTTCTTTCTGATCAGACGATATCTCTTCCAACAATTTGCCGTTTAGTTCGTACCCTCCGCTTTTTGAGATGGTTCCGTCCGATATTTACAATATTCCATAATAGAAATACAAATCCATTGCACTTCTTTCCTTTGCACTAGTATATCGGGTATGGGATCATCGTCAGACTTTCCCGTCAATGTTGGTGACGGTAATACAGCCCAGTAATAGGGTGGGGTATTGTTCCTTTGACACTTTTTTTGAAATGCTGTGACTTCCAAGTGTTGACATTCTAATGATAGGGTATCTCGATGCAGAACTCACCGCACTCCGCAACTATGGCTTTTCGTCGATGATTTTTCACTACCGTATCAAATTTCCGTTATGTTTACCGCTGCTCTGTACTAATGTTCGTGGTATAGAAATCATGTCGCAAATACGGAACGCCTCTAATTGAGCGTAGTTGTTTAAAAAAGGTCTTCTATGTGGTTCGTCGAAATCCTGTTAGGAGGGGCTTACCGCTCTGTCTCAAGAGATTGATTAGATAATGGAATTACAGAAGAGCCTTCCTCATCTGTACCTAGTGAGTATCTCGAGACCATTGGGTGAACACCGTAGGTGCTTCGATCCATTGTTGCTGACCATCGCTCAAAGAGAATGGCCCGTAAGGACTGCTAATTCTCGAAGTTTTGGGCCTATAGCGACAGATGCTTAGAGGTACGACTCTTAGTGTTGCTACCAGATGATTACAGCTGCCCATTTCATGCCACAGAATTAGCCTCTGCTTATCGTATGAATTGTAGACATGCTATATGGAAGTGGCTCATTTGTGAGCTCCATTTTCATCATCTGCTGTAGAGGAAGTTCCTCCTAAGCTGGTGATTTTTCTGATGGTAGAAATCATCTGGTGAGGAAAAAACTGCAGCCATTACGTATGTGCCACAGTTTTGTGGGCTTTGCAGCGCTTGCCTCACCTATGTTTATTCTACTTGATATTTCGCTGGTTGAAAATTGTCTGTATAAATCATCTCCGAACAGTTTCACAGCAATCGACAAATCTCACTTTTACACTGGATCGTTCCAGCAGCAAGCTCTCTAGAGCGACAGATGCTCAGAGGTACGACAAAAATACTGTATATATGTAGTCCGTAGAAGCGGAAATTTGAACTTAGGATCAGTTTGAAATAAAGAGCACTATGGTCGCGTTGTGAAACCACCACCACAGGATTACAAGTTGCTCAGAAAGGAACCCGTATTTGAGAAGAGTATTCTGCATTCATCGAAAACGAGCGGATCTTCTGTAGTAACTTGATGAGCGAAAGCAGCTATGGGAAGACAATAGTCGTCAGTCTCGTCGATGAAGCGATTTTTTTAGAGAGCCACTGAGTCACCACCATCGTGATGCCATCCGTTGAACAGGCGCGTGTTTAGAGTGTGGAGTGTACGTCCATCGGGTCGCTTGGTCGGTCGAACGGACGACGGAGAGACGGATGGACGGAGGGAGTGCCTACTATCGAAGCGACGTCTGCTCGGTGTGACCCTTCTCTCTCTCTAAGGTCTCCCTCATCATCGATACACTCTGATCAACGACAAGATCCGTCGACTCGAAAGGCTGTTATATTGACTATTGATTGTAGGTTATATTTGATTTAGACACTCATTCCTAGAGCAAACATGCTACACGGACTTTGCCAACACGTCGTTCTCGTACACATCACAAACCCACTAGGGCAACGGTGGTTGTCATCGAATGTCATCGAAACCCACTAAGCCCATTCACTGAGGTCCTCTACCCAGCATTCAATGCAACATTTTCTCTTGAGCCACTCATTTTCAGATTAGCCTAGATCACTTTGACTCCTATGAACAGTATCAAAACTTGGGTAACTAAATAATTAAAGCTAAAGTCGTTTTTGAACCGATTATGACTTAATCTCGGCTGAAATAACCAATGTGCACTTCACTGATAAGCCAACATGGTGCTGATAAGGAACTTTATTGGACCGACACTTCAATATCTTTATGTTTTTCGAGTGGATCTGACTCGAGTAGAGTGTCCAGACCAACTGATTATATTTATTTAAAGCCTGTGGTAATCGTGCATCTCAAGCGTACTGTTCGTTCTCCTCCTCGTTTCTCTGTTCGAGTAGGCGACATATTTGAAATCCCGATACCCTCCCTTTCTTCTTAGCTTTTTCTGCTAGTTTTATCTTATCATATAGTCGTTATTTACTTATACTGAATTAGCTCACGAATCATTTTTATCGCCTCATCTTCAACCACAGAAGCATTGCTGTATATAGGGAACTAACCAGAACATTGTGTCATTTTCTTGTTTTAAATGGTTTTTTCCTTCATTTTCAAAATTCTGAACTCTTTTATAATCTGAGCATGCATTCTCACGATTTACGTACAGTCGTTTTTTAGTAGAGAGCATTCACCCTGCTTCCCAAATTTCAAAGAGTTCATTGTCTGAAATATTGTGAACAGGATTACGGTACCTTGGCAAAATTAGAGTGAGTAATTGCGAGAGGAATTGTTTGTGAGAATGATGCTGTTTTGCTTCGGAACGCTCACGTGATTTCGTTCTGATCACTCTCAACAACATTTTGGCCAAGCTGCAATGGAACAGAAAGAAATTTCTTCCCACCATTTTCACCGAATACTGCTGGATTAAATTTGAAGTCTTCACATCTGTCATCTGTATGTCGAATCTTCATCACCGGACGACACACGTGTTAATACAGCTGTTTTCCATCTCTACGACGACCATTTCTTTCCCGTTTCTTTGCTTATTTGAAGCCGACGCTTTCCAGCTGCGGCCATTAGCTATTTCTTCATTTGAACAGACGAATCACATAGATCGTATTGTCTTACTAAACGCTCTATCCACCGTAATATCCAGCTGAGAAAACATCTCAGAGGTCATCTTTCGCTAATTAGATTTTCTATGCCAGCGGTGTTTATAGTTGCCTGTGTGACTGTAGCCATCTCGTTCGTCTCAATCATTTTCATCTCCTTTCAAAAAGGAATCAAACGACTATTGCTATTCTCATGTAAACTCGGCTACAACCTGGAGACATGTGGTCTTCTTTCCCCCTTGATGTGATGGATGATGGTCAAGTGCGATTCTCCCTGGAAATCTAAGATAGCCGAGCTAGTGAGTTCTCAGTTCGTCCACAACAGTTGCCACCCTTCGTGGATTTGAAGGAAATTTGCTGCCATGCGATTCGAAGTTTTTTATAATCGCGCCTTTCTCAAGTCAATTTCGACTTCTTCGAACATGTGGACATAATCGTTTGAACGTGGGAGGGGGAATAGCACCACGACATTCGACGCTTCGATGGTTTCGTTTGTTGATGACGTTGGTTCGGAACGTGATTCATTCAGATTTGACACAAAAGAGAAGACGAAAAAACTGCATAAAGAATTCATTTGTGATGAAAGTTGCAAATCAAACTATCGGCAATCTATAGGCACTGTGAAATGCAAATGACAGTGTACGTCTGTTTTTGATGCCGCCGTTTCCATAACATTGAAGATCACTCACCGATAAATTTGTCGTTACCATTTTTATTACTCAGAAAAGTTACCGAAGGTACATAGTAGTTTTTTGTAGTAGTTCCTCAAACCAACTATCAAGTAACTTCGACATTGTACAAGAGTTTATGACTTTTCTTATACGCCAAAGAAACCCCTAAATCCATGTGTAGTGCTTTTTGTGATGAGATAATTGAAGTATTTAGCTGGCCGAGTTGTAGATCTCTCATTTGACGTTCCAGGCTCTGAAGAAGACGAAATCCGAAAGTCAGCTGCTCAAATAAATTTCATTATGACAACCTCATTTTTTGTAGCTATGAGTTTTTTTCATAATGAAATAGTGCGAGGATTTACGAACACGACGTATAGAAATTTCTGAGAGCCTTACGTCAATGATCTGATTTGTTGACGTTCTTTGTACTGAACTGTCTCTAAGCAAACTTCCGGTTGTCAGCTATCGTCTTCTGTATTATTCCGCAAATTAATAAAATTTGTTCTACATGAATTACTATCATGAAAGACGAGGCAAAATTCAATCTCAGTCCTAATCTCCATTATTGAATCTATCAAAATAACTTTTAATTAGCCAGCGAAACTCCGTCCACTAAAACGTTACAGAAATATAACATTACTTTCAGCATGACATCGCTGAGTGTTTCCGATAACGAAGCAGTTGCTGGAGAAGTTTTTCTTGAAATCATAACAGCTTCTGGATCACTTCCAGAAAGCACTCCCCTAATCGATAAGTGATATCTTTGTAGCATTTCTCGCGACCTCCATCGACTTCCCTCGAAGTAACCCGAGAATGACCTGGGCCATAATGATCGCACAGTATGCCTGCCATACTACTTCTGTCATTGATTTTACTCGACAGTCTCTCTTCTCATTCGCTTTTGTTTTCTCTCACATTTCTCAATGATTTTACACTAAGCAACACAGTAACATGTCACGCCTTATCATGATTTTTGTGGGAAAAACCATAGTACAAATTTTGAATCACTTCGAATTTTCATCGTATTCCATAGTTTATCAATCGCTTCACTCCTCTAAAAACCCAAAATTCTCTCCAACGCATTCCAAAGATTTTCAATTCTTCGTCAGCTCCAGAAAGGCTATATTGTTTGTCTCTTTGATGACTGACGACATTACAGGCCTCGAGACCATCGAAACGGCGCTTACCACCGCCTCTGCTTGAAAGAAGCGCTGCGTAAGTCGTTTTTCGCTTAGGCAAAAAATTATTGTCTTCGAAAAAAGAAAACATAGATTTACATAAAAGGCCAAATTTTTTTTTATCTCAGCCACTCCGCTTGTAATGCATTTTGAACCTCGAGGTGGGCTTGAACCCACGTCTCAGTCATTCCGATCGATGTCTTGTATTGCAAAAAGAGTGGTAGACAGCGGAACAAGAACCTCGGTAGTGCAGTAGTTAGCACACGCTCCTGGAATGTATGAAATGCGGGTTCAATTCCCGTCCGATATTGAAACTCTTGCAAATCACTCGGCATTACTGGGTCCGTAGTTATAACATCACATGTCGCTGAAAAGGCATTCGAATAAAGAGTTATTGTTGACTACATATGTAATATTTGATGTTAAAATTCATAAGCACCTAGTAAGTATTATCCACGTAGTCCACAAATGCGTCTTAAATTCATCATTCATTTATTAGATAACCTTTTTCTGATGATCTTCTAACTGGTTTCAGGATGCATCTGGCGGCAGTCGCGGTGTTGGCGGTGCTTGCTATAGTAAATTTGCCGCGCAGCAATCAGCAACGTGTTGATGAAAACGCACGTTGTGATAATCGTTCATGTTATCCGATCACTGGAAATCTTCTAATTGGTCGAAAACATCGTCTGAAATCCTCATCAACATGTGGTACAAAAGGCAGAGAGAGGTAATTTAAACGCACTTGAACTTCGGATGAGTTTGAAAAGCCATCTATCGAAAATGAGGAAATTAAACAATTAATCGATTCCAATGTTATAACTTTATTTTACTGTTTTGTTCTCGTCTTTCGTGGCAGCGTATGATCTGAATTAAAGTCAATCAGAAAATTGCTAGGAAACGAGTAAATATGGGCTTCGAACTTCCCTTTCCCCCTAGCTTTCGTGTTATGTACTGTGAACTACACAGTCCGCTGTGTCCTTCTCACGGCCATGTTCTATCCGTAGCGGTACTTTAGCATTTATTCGTCACGGGATTGAAGCACAAACCGACTCTGAAATTAGTAAGGCTGCAACTGTGATCCAAATCACCATGGTAAAACTTTGGATTACTGCTTATTCCATTTTCTATGGCAGGGTAACATGTGAAGTACGCGTTTGCAGGTTCGAAGGCCGTTTGAACTTTCGAGTTTTGTTATTGTAGGCATCGGTGGCCTTCGAGAATATGATTTGTTAGGTGCTCCGTGTAAACTTTGGTTTTGTAATGCTCTCACTTCCACAAATATGGCCACTGATCTTAATATGTACGTTGGAATCTCTAAGCACCACGTGTACTGGTTCCAATGCGCACGATTTTCGCTGATTTCTCTCAGCGTACAAAGCTTTTTTTACTAAACTTTTTGTAAATTGATCGATAGCTTATCGAAAACAGATGGTGTATGAGGTTTATTGGCTAGAAAAGAACTCTCTTGTGCATTTGTAAATGAACAAAAAAAAAAACCGTTTTCCCAACGAGTTTATTGGTCGGAAATTTGACTGCTCCTCAACTATTGCTTCATTTTCAATCATTACAGTGACTCACTGTTATGGAATAGATCGCATGGGTATCAAAGATACAGAAATAGCCTCAACATAAGGTGAAATACACGTCATAGTGATGACAGCAATGCGCATATGCAGCAAAAAAGACTGCTGAAAAAAACTCTCGCCATCCACAAAAGGGTTAAATCTTTTGATACCGTGTCCCACATTTGTGTTTACGCCCGTCTCTCGCCTTCGGACGCCTTATGAGTATTAGTGTGCGCTCCAATACAAGTCTCGTACTTGTTTCGTATATTTAAGTTTTGAGAACTTTATCGACCAAGAATAGTTTTATCAATCCGCTCGGGAGAGCGTGTACCTGTGCTGTACACGATTGTTCAAAGGCCTTTCTCGGTGTACACAATATTTTTCCCTAAAGGTTTGGTATCAATTCGAAATTTTAAATCTAGGCAATTTTAACAAATTGCTTTGTTTCTGAAAACCTTTCTTTTATGTTGCAGCAGCAAAAAATAACATTATGTTTCACATTTGGTTTGCTTTGCCTGCTTGGCTGGGAATTTTAAATAGCTTTTTGCCAAACTTTTAGCAGCTATTCGATAGCTCAAATTTTGACAATTTTAGTACTGAAATTGATTTTCGAAATTATATACAAAGAATGTCGTGAGAGCAAAAGGAAGATTATGTTTCACACCCTAAGTATAGTCCGTCGCGCCAACTTTGCATAGAGATTACAGGTCCTTATGAGTGCAATTTATGTGCTAGAGATACTTTATCACTACAAAAATCAAAAACATCACAAAGAAAACTGCCATAAAAAAATTTTTGGCAGAACTTAACGACCACTTGTCAAAAAACGCTCTGTTTTCATGAGAAAAGCAGATCCTTACAAAACTGAACTCCTTTTGTATGTTAATGAGCACTTTTTTTCTCATTTTACTATGCCTTCGTAATCATTGTATAGCTTGATAGGTGCTGATTTTGGTACTAAACTTGTTTTGGAGACTTTCACGATATGCTTTTCAAACAATGAGAATATAACGTTTTGCTCCCGGCGTAATTATCTCGTTGTTTGAACGTCATAGCGGACTTTGCTGGCAGTTATACGGTAAAATTTTTGACTTTAAGAAAACTTTGTCCTTACAAAAGGTAGGTCATTATTAAACGGAATTTCACAAGCGTACTTTCAGGAGCGCCTAATTATCTAGAAAATCTTCAATTTTCGCTACGAAAGCTACGTCCTTGGGATAGAAACACATTCTGAACTCTTCTCTCACATTTCTTTCGACGATATTGTAAGAGTATAATTCGAAGATATATTCTCTACAATGTATGACTCTTGGAGAAACTTATGCAGAAAATTTCTTAGTATTTAGTAACAGTAAGCTTTGACAGATTCTGCATTTATCATTTTGGAAAACTATTTCGAAAAAAGTGCATCTTATTCAACGAATTATCGAAACTTTCCACTGACGTCATGAATTTTCTAATCAAAGGTACGCCTTTTAGTGCATAGTAGTAACGAGGAAGAAAAATATACCTAGTTTTCCGGGTAGTTAGTCCGCTGTTTGAACTTCGCAGCAGGCTTTGTTGGAAATTAGATTAGGTTGAGAAAAAGGTCCCTTAAAACCCAAAACTCAAACTTTATACATAAATTCATAAAAAAACAACAGCAATTCTTCTTCAAAATAAAGACCATCACCATCCACGGTTTTCTGCCAACGATCTGCAAGCTTTCGGATCTGCTCGAAATACAAGTCCTTAAGCGTTGATTCAAAAAACTCGTGACATGCCTCTTTTGACAAAATGTCTCGAATCGACGTTCACGCAGGAAATGTTCCATTGAGCGGAAAAGACCAACTTTTTTACCACTTTGTACCACTTTGCGACAGTCACATGGCTCACAGTTACTTCACCTTCGTCACCACACATCTTCTTCGCCGCATCTCTGTCAAAATGTTGTCGCTTCGTATTCCTTCCAAAAAAAGCGTAACTAGATGCTCAATTGTGTCTATTGTCATCAAATGATATCGAAGAATTAATTAAAATTTGATACAATACAACTAGTGTTGCCATGGGAGTTCCTTATGGAAATATTCCTGAGATATTCTCAGTAATTTACAATAACCGATACTGCGTGAAACAACCATAAAATATAAATTTGTTGCGGGTGTTAGGGAACTTTTTCCTTAACCTAATATATTGAAATTGAAATGATCAGAACATCTTATCGTCACGAAAAGTAGCAAATTACCCGTGAGATTATTGGAGGTTTTCTTAGTGAGAAGAACGCCAATGCGTTCCAACAATTCGCAAGTTTTCAATACGAAAATGGCATACTTTGAAAATATACTTATTTCCAACTCCTACTGCACATTCTTGTCGCCTTCATTGTGAAAATGAGACCGTCTGTTCTTACACATCAGTCGTTTGAGGGCCATAGATATGTCTGTTTTATAATCAGCTTCCAAACATTGGCCTTACGTTTCCTTGAACACCTCATATCGTTAAAGAGTACGAACACAGTTCTGGGCGACGAAATTTTCTTTGACCACTAACCGAATATCTCTTCATCATTGTGTTCTTGATGTGATTGAGAATGGAACAGTTCAATATTGGGTGGGATCTAGTAAGTACCCCCTCTTCGAGGCTTTGAAAGCTCAAATAGGCTCGCAGTTTCTACATGGAGCACTTCCCAAGACGCACTTCCGAAGAGAGTAAATGCTGAATGACAACAACAAGGAAGCGAGAATTATGCAGTACTTGCTTGTTTTCCTAAGATTGCTTGTGGGTTTACTCAGAGAGTTCCCCCACAACACAAAGGTATGTGACTCTTATCCGCATATATGAACCAGAATTCTTAGAGATCAACAAATTGTACGTATCTGAACGTTGAAAGCTGAGAACGATACCAGGGGAAGCATTCGAGCGGGCCAGATCTGTGGTTCACTGGTGGACAATCACAACGATCTGCACCTGATCACACTGAAGTTATCTTGAGAGGCTGAAATTTGAGGGTGATACAGGGAGTTGCCTTGAGGACAATAAATCAGAAATTGCGTAATATATGCAAAATAAGTGGGCATGTGCAGGGGATTAAGGTTCCATCGACGAATAATCTTCAAAGTAAAGTATAGTGGATGTATAAAAAGCGAATACCCATAGAACGATGGAAGAATGTCTGTTCTAAAATACCATTTTTATCGGAAATAGTCGATAAACTGGTAACCCATGTAGTACACATGATCCTTTTTAATCAGCTTTTCATTGTTTTCTATTTTTTTTAAACTGAAAATTTATATCGTTAGATCTTTTATACAAGTTCTTACAATTGACCGAATGCTGAGAACAGTATGAGTGCATAGTAAACTAACGTTTTTCTCCACACAGGAGATATAAATGCTACAAAAGCTTATGAGCGTGTAGAGTGAATTGTGATGTATCAAAATAAAGCAAGAAACCCAAAGCTTCCATAAAAACGGAGAAAGAAACTCTAGTTAAATAACCAAAATGGCGTGCCGCTTTGCGAATCGCAATGCGCAGCGATTCTATTGCCGTACCGAACGAGTTAAATTTTCTTCAGTTTTACTTTATTTTATAATGACATTAGAAACCCCCCTAGTAAAGATATAAACCCAACATTCTTTTCGAAACTACCACATCATCACTGGAGCGTGAGCCGCCAGCCGCTCTTCGTAGCCGTCCGAACCGCTCGCAAGACGAAAATGTCCGCGGTACCAAAGATTTATCGCACAGTAAACAGTGGTACAAATGC